GGTAACTTACTTTGGTCATTCCTTTTCCCCTAGCACCATTATAAGGTTAACATTTATGATTTAAATCAAAATGACTTGACAAATATTCAATGGATTGGCATGATATTTGGTACAAACATTCATGTTACCCTCAAGATGAACTGTATAACTTCGACAATCCCCTGAATTCTTATCTATTGGCATCATTAAATCAAAATTTCTGTTTATCACATGCTCTGGTTAATTACCTAAGAGGAATTAAATACTAGCATGCTATCATTTAATGGGTGCTAGCATGCTAAACTAAGATGTTAAACATGGCAAACATTATATAAACTAAAGATCAGCATTAGCATTGTCACCGTGAGCATGGTGGCATGCTGACATTAGCATTTAGTTTAAAGGCTACAGCCTCAGCTGACACAAATTACAGTGAAACACTAGAGTGGAAAAACTAACAAAACAAAACTCTTGTGGATTTTGGAGCAAAATGAAACCTTTGTTGTATGAATCAGTGATATTAGAGTCTGATGAAAAGGAATGCTTAAATCTCCTGAGTTTAGTTTTGATCTGCCATCTCCATCTCCTGACACCCACAAAGTTTATCTTTGCTCTCAAAATACAACGCATGAACTCAGAGTCTTTTCTTGGAACAGATCTTATCAACACTGTATTTATTCCTTCTCCAGCAACAGGACGCTGTGGAATAATGTTAACAATCAGATGACTTGAACCAGGTCAAATAAAACATTTGGCTTCTTTGTGTTCCAGGTTGTTCTAGAAAACAACCAAATGTCACTTCAGTCCAGTCAGCTGGTGGGATGGCTGTCAGGTCAGGTCTGCGTCAGCCTGTTCATGCTCCGTCTGCACAGCTGTTTTATTAGACTGACTGACCAGGATCCCTGTAATGCTGCACTCATTATGTTTAATTGTGTTGGATTTGAACAATGTGTGATCGGTTGTTTTGAAGTCTGGAACTTCAGACTTAAACTTGTTAGACTTTTTGTTCGTTGAAAGAGGTGGAAAGTAAATGAATATTTACTCAAGTGCTTACTGGTAAGTACAGTGGTTACAGCACTTTCCATTTTAAGAGAATTTCTACTTTTCCTCCCTCCGCATTTCAGAGGGACTTATTGTACTATTTTATCCATTCAGGTTAACTGAAGAATGCAGTCAGTATAAACCTGCTTTGTTAAATTAGAGTCTTCATCCAAAATGAGAGAAAATCATAAAATATCATCAAAATCGTCTTTCTTCTTCTCATGTCTTGTATTTATGTATCTTTCTCATTCTCTCCTCTATGTCTTCCCTAATTTATTTCTTTCCTTCCTTATTTTTGGCCACTTTTCCCGTGTTGCTTGATGTCTTTCATCTTTCATTTCCTTCTTTCCTTCTTTTGTCCTTCCTTCTGGCAACCTATTAAGTAATCTTTTCCGTCTTTCCTTCTCCTGTCCCTTGATTTATTTCCTTTCTCTCTCTTCTTCCTGGCTACTTCTTTCCATCTTGTCTTTTTTGATTACTTTCTTTTCTTCCTCCTCTTTCTATGGCACCTCATTTGTTTCCTTTATCCCCTCCTTTTGTCCTATTTGTCTTCCTTGTCTCCCTCCCTAACTTTTTTATCTGATCTGGAAACCCACAAAACTAGATACAAGGTTTTCACCCACTAATGAAAACTTCACAACTCTATAAGTGCATTTACTTTTGATACAGTAAGACTGTTTTACTGGTAATATTTGTTTTACTTATGTTGTACTTCTAATCAAGTATTCTCGGTTGTATTGTAACTAGTTCCCCGTAAAGGATTAGAGCACTTCCTGTTTATTGATAAACTAACCCAGCAGCATGGCATTGAGTGGAATGACAACCACGTGAGGCACAAAAGTGACGCACACAGTCCCTGCTTGAGGTGCCAGCAGTGTGTAAAGAGGCTAAAGACTCTGGTGGAGAGCACCTGTCAAACTTCATATCAAGTCACCCGTTTTTCCAGCTTCAGTCTGCCTCCCTCTCTAACCTGACAATCAGGCAGGAGATGTCTCACTGTCGTGTGTCCCATAAATCTCAGAGTCCATATAGCACCAACCTATAGCTGATAGTGTGTGTGGTTGGTGATGTCCCAGAAAGTGACAAAGTGTGTTGTAGGTTCTCCTCTGACGCAAGAAAACCATTTAGTTGTAGTGTCTGGTGTCACAGGGACGCATAGCAACGCAAATGCTGCCTATAAATATACTTCCACGTCCAGGCTATTTTAAACCTAACAGGGTCAAACAGGAGAGTTCAACTTCCTTTTACCACAGAGAATGTATGTTTAATTATCTGGAGGAGCCGGCAGAGAAATGAGTGGATGATTATTTACATGATTTATAAACTAGTGGAGTAAATTATTCAGAGTCTTACTAAGTCACATGTTTTGATTGTTTTAATGAAGTGCTACTAAAAGATGGTGAAAGAAACAGACTGGAAATAGATGGTTAAAGGGTCAGTTCACCTAAACTATTAAAAAACCAAACATACTTTCTCTCTTACATCTAGTGGTGTCAAGCTATGCAGGTAGCTTTGATTTTGAGGGTAAAGTTTGGTTCTTCACATTTCAATGTGACAGAAAAATCTTTTTGCAAGTTTCACTTAATTGTTCTTTCTGGTGCTTTCAGCAACATTTCATGACCTTTATCACTGCATGTTGTTATCACATGACATAAATTTCCAGAATTGCAGTAGTTTTAAGGTCATCTGTGATCACATGAGCAAAATTCTTAGATCCCGAGACAACAACTAAACCACCTCCACCCATGATTGAGGGCCAAGAAAGATTTAAGATTGAGAATCTCTTGGCGAAGGTTTTGTTTTTATTTGCCACAGTTTTTAGTTGTTAATCTTTTAGATGTCTGCCTCCACCCCAGTAGAGGTACATTTGACCTTTTATATAGCGCTTACAGCATTGACAAATTACACATATTCAACAGCAACACCCTCACAGAAACAATGCTGTAGTTATACAGAGTTTGCAGGACTATTTCTTTGGTAGAAAGTAATGGACTATCCACAGTAATTCCATATCAGACTCCACAAAATCAGCTCAACACTGGCCATACTTGATAGACATGGTGTCGAGAATTAAAGTGAGTAACTTATCCCATGTAGTGTGTCAGAGTGGAACGCAACTGATGCAGTATCTAAGACGCCTTACAATCTTTGTGCCTTCTCTCATTTAGTTTGACTGTTTTAATAACTTGTTCTGTGACGCTGATGGATAGCAGCATTGACTGCACTATATGGGTAAACGAGATGAATCAAAAGAGGAATAAAGTCAGTATCGGCCTCTGCTTTTCCAGTGACTTATGCATATCACAAGACCGTGGGTTTTGATTGGTCAGGATCCAATGTCTACTCCGCTGTGTCTCTTGACCAAGAATTTATGAGTCTGATTGCCTGATCTGTCACAGTAACCATCTCCAAAGAAATATATATCTGGTGAATAGTGGAATAGTGTTTATGGCATTAGATGTTGCTGTTAGTTTATTTAAATGTGATTTGTCAATGCTTTGAGCGCCACAAACAAAATTCCATTTACCTCTGTTGTGTTAGGAAGGGTGCCGAAATCTCATAACTCTTAGCAAAGAAAACCAAATTCTATGACTAGACACCATTTGAGATAAGTGATTTTTTGGAATGACCTCACATTTCATAGTCGTTATTCAACTGGATTATTTTGAATAACCAGCTGTATATTTATGTGTGAAGACTCAGGCGCACCCATGAATGTTACAAGAGAAAGAAACATTTCCTTAGATTCAGCACTGAAAGCAAAGAGCTGTTAATGTAATAACTCATCACTTCTCCAATACATAAACTGTCTCTAAGAAATACAAACACTGATATCAAGAGTGAGACTTCCTATAAACATTAAAAGCATCACCGATTCATAATCAGCATCAGTCTATATGTCGGCCAGCAATAAAACGTATCAGTACAGAAATGCTAAAGATGTGCTGCGGCGAACAGTGTCATCACTGCATCGTCTGTCCACCCATGGGCAGCGACAAGTTTACTTTTCAAATGTGAAAATGTTCCCATCAGTGTGTCTTAGTCACAGTTCCTCAAAACACAACATTGAGAAATCCTTATCAAAAATATTTTTGTGGTTTTGTTGTTGTTTGTTGATGTATTGACCAGATTCTGACACAGATATTTAAAAGGAACAGTTCAACATTTTGAGAGATAAGCATATCCCTTTCTTTCCCAGAGCACAATGAGAGCATGGATCTCATCTCTGTGCGTTGAGCATGGAAGAGTAGTATTTATCTTCTCAAAGAAACCAAATAAGAAAATCTCACAAAATGCTGAGCTATTCCATTAACTCTTGCAACCAGTATTCAAGAGTCCCAATAATGCGAGCTACAGAAATGAAGAATGGGAACGTAAAGCACACTGTGGTGGTACTGTTGTTACAGGTTTTATTCTTTTCACATTCTTGATTGGATAGTGTTGTTAATTATGTAGGAAGAGTGGTTTAGTTCAGGAAAAGGATGCTGGAGAGGGGAGTTGGTTTATGAGATTGATTGCGTAGTAAGTATAGAAATGGGGTCGGACTAGTCTAGCAGTTTACTTCTTCCTACTCTTTTTTGTACATGACATAGTAATTTATGTTGCTTATTGAAAGACTGGTGTATATTAGAGGTGGGAATCACTTGAGGATCCACAATACGATATTATCACAATACTTAAGTCGTGATACAATATTATTGCAACATGGTGAGTATTGTGATAAAATATATTGTGATATATTCTGATTTATTACCTTTTTCAACTGTACATTATGTCCCCAAACGAAAAACTTAGTGGTCAACATCGGTTTGATCTAATAAGATTAAGTTTCCACTTTTGTTTGTTTGTTTTTTACATATACATGTAATCTTTCTTATAATGTTCAAAATAAGTGTATTCAGTTCAATTCAATGAGTCAGCATGATTAGTTTCTTGTAATCATTGAACCCCGTTCTTCCCAACTGTGAAACCATTACATGTCTGAGTATCAATGAGTTTATTAAACCTCATGACGTCCTGGCAACAGTTAATACATGCAAATGATTACATCAGAACAAAATATATGCTACATTTAACATTTTTTACAGTATGAAAGTACATTGGACAATAAGTGATCACCCAACAAGATATGCATTTTGATTTGCAAAAATTTGCCAAAATTGGCAAACCTACTCACAGTCTGGATGTATCACTGACTTCATCTGTTAACAGATTTCATTTAATACTGAATATGATGATTATGGTAATCAAAGTGCTTTAAGAGAATATGTATTTAAGGTTAAATATTCTCTCTAATATCATGTGCCATCTAATCTGAACAGAATATATAGGCAGATTTTAGACAAAATCCTCATATGGAGTACCATACTTTCATTTCAGGCAATTCATAATCACTCCCTGTGACATGAACGCTGAGACTTCATAAACAGATATGCCCGAGCTGAAGTGTAGTAAATGAGGCATGAATCATTGTCCTGGATTTTCCAGTTTTCCTCTCCTCTCCTGGGCCTTTCAAAACCACAATCCCTCCCATTACAATCAAAGCCGCCACATCCAACAGCAGATTAATGGGAGACTTCCTCTACATCGCTTCACACAGTGGTAATTCATCTTAATTGTGATACATTCCTTCTGGCTGCATTCCCAGCTCGCCAGATGCTCGACGTCTGTTTGACAAATAAATCCCCTACAATGTCTTCAAAGCTTTAAGTTCTGGGCCTTTAGAGTTTGTGGTTAAAAGTTTTACAGGTTGGGAATCCAACACAGACTGGACAACATCTGTCCGCAACTGGTTCTCCAACTCGATCGAAACATCAGGCCTCTTCAGACCAGGATATGAGTCCAGCTGTTAGTTCAAGTAAAAATACTCCTCTGGTTTGCCACCAGGGCGGTTTGGCTCTCCCGTCGCCTCTCCTTCTTCCTCTCCAGTCTCATCTTCCAGCAGACCACACTGGATGCTAACAGCACCAGTCCGGCCGAGAGGAGCACCAAGCCGAAGTAGGAGATGGTGGATCCATGGGAGTTGAAGCTGTAAGCGACGGCAGTAACCACGATGCCAGCGATGAGGACCACCACACCAAACGGGACAGTGCAGCGATAGCAGGAAAGCTCCGCCCCGCCAGTGGCTGCGGTCAGCTGGACTTCATTGACCAGGGGGATGTTAACCGTGGTAGCTACAGGGTGCTCGTTGTTGTTAGCCTTCTCTGGAGTGGCTGGCGTTCTCATGGCGTCCTCATTAGCTTCTTCTGGCATTGCAGGATAAAGGAGAACTTCTGTTAACCAACCACAGATGGTTCCTCCTCGTTGTTGTTGCCCTTTTACCTCTTTTCCTTGCTAGGGTCTCCCAGTCTATGTGGAAAAAGAAACCATTCATGAAGTGAAAATGCAAAGAGTCAAACTTGTTGCTCAACACAGGACAAACTTCCCAAAAGGGACCTTGCAGAGGCTTTTTGTAAGAATTCAACACCACATTTCACAATTCAACACCGCTCTCTGTCCGCCTCACGCTGCTTTAAAGTAACCTCCTTGCACAATCCCCGCCGCCTTCTGACCCAGTCAGAGGAGATGTCTGAATGACGCAGGACCACTCAGCCCTGCATGAGCTGAGACATTCCCTGGAGAGCGCAGGATATGACATTACAAACTGCCCTGTGAAATGCGAGGAGCTACGAAATCACTAGCAATTTCACAAGCACTCATCCTTACCCCCCTCTCGTCTGCTGCATGGAGAGCTGTGATTCAGATTCTGAGTGACAATAAATGGGCAGGACAGTGTCAGTCATACTTTCCATCACTGTCAGGGTTTACAAACACTAAATTAATCCTTTTCATTAAAAGTGCAGAAATGATCTGTAGAAATTCTGAAAGTAGTTCAGAAGTCTGACTCGCTCTATAGACCAGCTTCCAGCTCATCAGATGTGAGAGTTTCTTGCTTTTCTTTGTCATTTAGAATTGTAAACGGAATTTCTTTCAGTGTTGGACTATTGGTAAAACTAGCAAACGATAAAACACGGTATTTGAATACATCTTCTTGGACTTTGGGAAATATTCTGTACTGTTTTCACTGTTTTCTGACATGTACTGACAGAATGATTAATCAACACTTAAAAAACTGCTTTGTGCCCCAATTTAGACCTCAAGCTATTTACCTTTAAGCTATTTATTATGGGTAATGGAGGGTTTTGCCTTTTTAGGACTCTAAAATGATTAAAAAGGGACAATGTGAGAACAACAAACAATCTGAGGAGGAACATCAGACTTTGTTTGAACTTTACAGCTTAGTGGCATTGTTGTTAATCTAAAGATTTAAAGCCAAAATTGTTGGTGACAAGTGTTCCCAACCAGGGGTAGGCCAACCTGTATATAGAGGGTACTTAAGCAGTTACCAGGGGGGACATAGAAATATTCTGTTGTAGCTCTGCAAATTTGAATTCAGTTAAAGAAAAATTTGATTAGATAGATAGATGTTGCCACTGAGAGTACATGAAAAGTAGTTAGCAAGTGAGCAGACAAGTCTAGCAGTTAGCTAAAAGTAATGAGTAATTGGCTGAGGAGTTAAATGAAAGTAATGAATATGCAGTTCAAATAATTAACGTTAGCTAAAAGTAATACATATAAAAATAGCTAAAAGTCCAGTTTCTGCCAATAGGAGGCTAGCCTATGCTTGTGCCATTTAATTGTATGGAAAAAAGTACTGTAACAATTTTGTAAAATATGGGAAGGAATGTATGAAAAAATGATCTAAGTAGATTTAAATAATATCCAGGTAATGATAAATTCAAACAGGTAGTTTTGTTGTTGATGTACTGTAGGGGTACTTGAGTTCGTCCCATAGAGGTGCAGGGGTATGTCTTAGCTGGAAACCACAATGTAAATTTGCTTGTTAGACACATAGGCTAGCTGAAGACAGTATCAGGAAAAATAATAATTCAAAAAAGAGAGAGAGAAAAGGAAAGAAAAACCCGCGCTTTCATTCTTTTTTGTGTTGGTGCCTCAGTAAAATAATTTTGGAAATAAATTCCTTTCATTTTTTCCAGAACTGAGTGCACTTTAACATCTGTTTATTTATGTTTATTCAAGGCAACTGATAGTCATAATAGACATCTGATGTTATCGTGATTTTACACAACCTTATCGCATGTTTATATCGTACAGCCCCAGAGGACAGATTCACTGCTGAAAAAAAGTTTGTTATCACTGAGAACATCTTCAGCTTAAGATAAAGAGGGAGGTACACAGTTGGTAGAGTCAGAAGCTCTAATTACAAGAGCTACTTTTATTCACTAATGGACTTAACTAACTTCTCTCTTATAGGAGCTCAAGCCAAAGGAAAACCTGTTCCCATTAATTAGAAATCCAGTGGAATTCGTGCCTGTAAACATTTACAGAAAAAGAAGCATTAGGGGGAAAAGGTTCAAGATGTGAAGCCAAAGCAAAAGAAGGGGTCGACATAAATTAATGTTGCCTCTACAGTCCAACCAATAGGCTAATAAGTCTTTTACTGTGTTTACAGGTGTGTTACATGCATGTTCAGTGTTTGTTTAGGCTGTCATTGACGGTCAGGCAAAAAAAAAAACAAGCAAATTAATCTGCACCACCGCCATATAAACTTTTTTATGGAGCTTGGCCTGTGCTGGTAATAAGAGAATTAGTAACCTTTAAGTCTACAGTTATTTGTAGTGAGGTGAATGTACTTGCCATGCTCGGAAAAGCTCTGTACAGAGAGAAGAAGGGTTAGTTACCTCACAGCCGTTTTCCATGTCGCACAGTCTCCACAGTGCTCCTCTGCTGCAGTCAAACTTGTCTCTGTGTGAAGACGCTCATAAAATATTCAGTCAGTTTCATCTAATTAAAACTGAATGTTGCTTTTCTTGTGTGCTGGTTGAAGTCGACAAACAAACAGCTTCTCTTTCCGGGCTGGAATCTGACTCCCATTCATGAGAAGCGTCCCCCTGTGAAGTCCTCAGGTTCAGACTGCTGGTCACACTGCCATCCCCATTGAGAACAACTATTTCAAGTATCGATGACTGGAGAGTGAAGCTGGAAAAAGTCAGGGAATCTACCTTTTCCGGTTGTGCATTTCAAAATAAATCTTCTTTTTCTGTTGCAATTACTGTTAGCTCCTTGGATGCGCTCATTTTGAAAGGTTATTTCCGTGACTCTGTAAAGCTTGACACTGCCGCTGGACCTCAAAACTTTACATGTTGAATATGAGCGAGCGATGATATTATATTATATTATATTATATTATATTATATTATATTATATTATAAAAAAATCAACAAAATGGAGGTAAATTAAGAAATCACCAACATTACAAAAAATATGCAGGGTATCCAGGATTGTAAATTAACTATTTCTGTCCACCTGTCACTGCTGATTCCAAAATCTGACAGTCAGTCAACAGATTATTATTGTTTTTGGCTGGTGAGTGAAGCAAATCCAGAAGCCACTTGCACACTTGCATATTTTACCAGCATTTGGCTGGTGGCTGGTGCTAATTTACATCCCTGAGCATAATATTTAACTACATCATAAATGAAAGACACTTTCTAGGGTACACAAAAACTAATTAAAGGGTTAGTGTAATGACTCATTATTGCACCTCCTTAAAAATGGATGACTCACAATATGGTAGATTAAAAGCAATGGAGGTGCTGTTTGAAAACACCTTTAGTCTCTATCTAGTATGGGTCAAGCTGCAAAAACACTGGACCCTACAAGTCCATGTGGTCACAGACCACAAGTAAAGTAAAATTCTTGGCCTTTATCTTTCAACCTGCAGAGGTCAGTGCAACAAGTGTGGAGATGATCTCTCTGAAGATTAAAATGTAACATGATTTTTTCAAGCGACAAATGTTAAACACGTTTGAAACGTTGGCTTGCTTACAACAACAACAACAAAAAAAGATTTGATTATTTTGTCAGATGCTGCAATTGCAAGATGAGCCACAATTTTCATGGAGATGATAATTTTTGCATTTCATTTTCACTGAAATAATTAGAAAAATGATGATGACGATGACAATGACGATGATGATGACGATGATGATGATGATGATGATGATGATGATGATATGATTTTTGCTGAGGTCTTTACCAAACAAACATTTTCCCTTACATTCGGAGTATGATTTGTAGGCTAGGACCTTTCTGCAGTACCACAGTGCTACATTTATAATGGTGTTGTGACACATTTTACCTTTATAAAAAAAAACTGCAGCTCCCACAATTTGGATATTGCACTTGGCCATATTGCTATTTTGATATCTTGATTAACAGTGCAGCCCTGTGTCAAACATGACAATCGTCTTGCCTCTATCTGGATTTACATGCTGACCACACTCTCCCAGTATGTGAGACCTGTGTGTCAGACCCTCTCAGGGATCACTGTTGTTGACATGATTACATAAATGTCCCACAACAGCTACTGATTTATGCTCTACAATACACACACACACCTGTTGAACACACTGTAAATACATTTACACTGTGGTTGTTCCCTCCCTTGTGTTGAGGGATTTTCTTTCTGCTTGCATAACACTGATGATCTCACACAAATAAATATGAACTGGGATATTTAATTTGTCATCTCCTTCTGCAATCACACTGAAACATGTTTCTAGGAATATTCAGGATAATAACATGCTAAGGGGATACATGTGCAACGACAAGCACACAGTCACAGAGCACAGTCATCTGCTGGATAGGTCATCATTTTATTTCATAACAAACCAGTCACATGGTTAACAAGGTTTTTATGCCAAAGGATTTCATTTATCTAGTTGTATGTGTGACAGTAAGAACTGACAGATGTGCCTGCAGTAGTGGATGTAGTTTTTGCTTATGTTATGTTTGTACACTTCATCATGCAAACAAAACTGCACAGTTGCAGTTTGTTCTACTAAGCAAATATTTATGAAAATGCTTCCTGTAGTTTACACCTAAGTCAGTTTTACAGGGCAAATAGTTGTTCAGATGTTGGCTATATATCACATAGAAGTACATGCATTGATAGATTACTGAACAGGCCAAATGGGCAAAGGCCCAGCAGCCCAAAGTGTCAGGGGCCCCTCTAGCCTTCACCTGCAAAATGTCACTAGAATTAACATGTAGAGCAAGAAAAGACTCAAAATGACAACAAAAAGGGGCCAAACAACCACAAAAAGACACAAAATGATTACAAAGGGACACAAAATCACCACATAGTCTTTGTATTGCACCAATTTGGGAGAGGTGGTGTGGCCTTTCTGTGCCCAGGGGCCCACTGTCTTATAATCCACCCATGAGTAAATAAAGTAGGCTATATCATTTAAATCCTTCGATTAATGCCATAGTCTTAAGCAACAGCAACTATTTTCACAAAAAAGGTGTAGTTTTGTGGTGGTAATCGTCTCTAGCTTATAAAATGTGAAGAAATATAGCGCTGTGCTTACATAAATGTTTAACTCTTTTATTTTGATAGGCGTCACCGGAAGCGTGGTGTTTGACTCCCTCTGGGTGACAGGTCAGGTGTTGTGAGAGGAGCCGTCATGTCGCTGCAGTTTACAGATGAGGAATTTCAGAGCGCCTGGAGGGAGCTGGATGAGCCGCAGCTGGAGGGAGGATGGGAGCTCTTCACCGAGACCATGGGAGTGAAAATCTACCGGCTCTATGACAAGGTGCGACACATTGATAAAACTGCTGCTTCTACAACAGGAAGACGGCTGCTGCTGGTGACTGACTGTATGAATGAATGAGTCTGTGTCGGTTTGGGTTTCTTCTGCAGAGCCTGTAGCGTCGGTATCAGTACCGATTTCCTCTCCTTCTCTAGTGAAATGATCAGACATTATTTTTTAATGTGAATAAATTATTGACAGCGTTAATAAACAAATCAGCAGTGATGCCCTAGCGGCCAAAATGAGAAATATGCGGAAACTGAGCAAGCTATTGGGCTCTGAAACCGTCTGCACCGGTTATAACGCACTCTATTTACAAATCTGGCAATTTAATGTTGCCTCTCCACTGGGGACATATGATTTAATCGGGAAACTGATTGAATACATTTATAAAATTAGAATAAACTCGGCATAGGGATGGCACATCAAGGCAGTCATTTTAATTCATTTTAAATTAATGAAAGGGGAACAACAATAATATAAATCAGCCTTAAGTAAAATGCAGTCCAAAACTACATGCATTAATTCTCATTCATTCCCTAAATGCTTTTGAATTCTACCTCTAAGGTGATACTAAAAGCAAACAATAGACAAGTTCTGTGATTATGAGACATTTGTGGGCAACCCCTTATTTTGCAACATGCTGTAAGTACATGCTTTTATGAAATAAAATGATCCATCCATGATGAGCAACTATGATTACAACATAATATTTTATTTGTAATAGTATATAGAGCTTATTCCTGTACTGTTGTCAACAATGTTGTCTTCATTTAGTTTCTCAATTTCATTGCAATTTGCACTTAACTAGGGCCAGGACAGTCACTCAGATAGTAGGCAACTTGCAGCTCTGGAGCCCTCTCCAGTTGCTCCCTAGGGCTTTGACAGGGAAAAAAATTATATGGAAATAAATAATGACTATTTTTTTTAACATGTTCAATTATCATTGTTGTAGGACTAAACAAATAATGCACCTAGATGCCACATTTAAAAACATTTAAATATTTCATAAACTTAAATGTGATTCAGATGTGTATGGCCGTTGAGAAGAGAGACTTTAATAGTGTGTGGACAGCTTTATTTGCTTTCACTGCCAACTCTGCAAAGTTAAAGTTCCAAATAATCCTAAATAGCCCACTGCAGAGTACCTACCACATAGTAAAACCTATTAATGAATGCTACACCTATTAGTAACATTGACAGTCTAATTAAGACTTAACAGGCTGTGTTGCCTTCGTTATAAGGTTCAAATAGCCTATGTATTGTGGCTCCAGACAAAACTTGTTATTTTTATTTTTGGTAACAAAAAAAAACCAAAACAAAAAAAAAGGCTCTTCTGATAATAAAGGTTGCTGACCCTTGAGAGAGGGCCTAATCTGTTCATATTTGCCTTAAAATGTAAGAGTGATGTGATGAAATACTGCTTGAGTTTCCAGAAACCTAATGTGCTATCCTATTATCAAGGGAATAGCATTTTAAGGGTATGCACGTGTTTGGGTTTGAGGTCTTGATGTGCTGTCCACTGCTGAGGAAAACAAGGCAACCTTAAACTGATATATTTCTGAATTTGAATTAAGACTTGCATTTGACCACAACATCAGTAACTATAAACGCAGTTTCTGGGGTGTATTGCATTTAAGAGTGAGAAAAGTGTCCGCAGACCTCTTTCTGTGCTTTTGAAAATCCAGTGCACTTGGAGTGAGAAAGGGTGTAAAGCAGATTTGCTGTAATTAGAGTTGTGTGGTTTGGGATTAGTTACATACTGTGGGTGTGGCATGTACGGCCTGCATTTGGAAGAGAGAACTTTCATGTGCTGTTTTCAGGAAACTGGACTTTATGAGTATAAAATCTTGGGTGTGCTCTCCACCTGCACTCCAGAGCTGTGTGCAGATGTCTACATGGACTTGGCCTATCGGAAAGACTGGGATACATATGTGAAAGGTAAAAACAGAACCCAGTAACGCAAGGTTCCCACTGCCATTGTCCTTTCCATCCAATTTCGACTTTGCCTCTTCTTTCCTGTTTAAGAATTACTTGTCATTTTTACCATAGTCTCATTGGTTCTGTTCTCGTTTCTGATATTCACCATGAATAAATCACTTATTCCTGCCTGTAGCACACAAGTAGGCTTCTGATATCATAGCCTTTTCCATGTGCCTTCTTAGATCTTGTCTTGAAGTAGTGCTCTACATTTAGGCATGGTTATATATACTGTAATAACATTTTTAATTTATCTTTGTCTTCATGCATTTCCACAGTAACCTGCAGGTAACATGTTTTCTGTATTGTAGCTGCGTAGTCTGTTAGAAACAAAGTTAAAATCACATATAT